AACCGTCAGGGTTGGTATTCATCTGAGAGAAATCTTTCTTCTTATACGCGAGTTTTAATATAAACATGCTGCCCGCCAGGTCACCATCACGTCTTTTGGTTTTCACCGTGACACTTGGAAGTTATTCCTCGACCACCGGTGAAACACTGAGCCTCTCAGATTGACTGTCCATTTGGTGTTTAAAAAATTGGGTGGCTATACTATGCGACTCTGTATAAGATATGCATATATATACATACTTGTGCAAGCACACATTTGGTCTATCCCAGCACAAAATTTAGTATCAGAAAACTCTGGTATCAAGATTACTTCAATTTGACTAGATAGAGGCGAGCCCTACATCGACGCTACTCACGGAGCTCAAATTTTTTTTAGATCTCTAAGCTCTGGCATAATATGTATCGGGATCGTCAGCAAGATCTACATTGGATCATCGATGCTAGTTTAACAAATGAATATTAGGCTGTGTGCACCACTATTGGTCCAAAAAAAGTAGTGAATCAAGTTTTCATTGAATAAGGAAAGAAATCATTAACGACACTGCTGAAGTGCTGGTATTTTATTAGGTTTCAGCTACGACTGTCTGAGGCTATTCCTTTAGCTAGTATGCATGAAGTCTTTAAGCGTTGCTTAAAGTCCGCCTACAATCGAAAGGAAGTTTCGACCCAAATTTGGTGTTCGGGTCAGCCAAATTAGATCATGTATCTTGGCGTGAGTACAGTCCTTCTCACCAATGTAATACGTTCGAGAAAATATGTTTAAACTTAACTCTGAATTTTACGTGTGTGACTGTGGGTGGGTTCGAACAGTCAGCACGAAAAGATTTATCAGTTCGTTGTATGTTACGTGGATTGTGTGAATCTCATTTGCTACACGGCAAAATGATAGTGTATATGTTATCCCCACAGGGACTCCAAATAAAGCCTGAGGCATGGAATTGGCACTGAAATTCTGTCACCTGCCATGAGATACAAAAAATTGCCAATCTATCAGTGATATTTTTAAGACATAAACTTGTCAAAATAATGTGAATGCATTATATCATTCCGATATCATAGAGATTCGTTTGATAGCGCTCAAGTCACCTGTTCACGAGTTCGTGACTCGCCTGTCCTTTCATGTCTAGGTCGATTTGACTTTTATGCCTTTTCTGGACACCTGATCATGTGTTGTGTCGGTATAAGTCTGGCGGCATCGTATTCAACTGATATGAAATCCGATACCCAACGTGCTGACGGCAATCTCTGACTACGATATATGGGGATTGGCAGAGCAAGATTTACATCGAAGCAACTTGCAGCTCATAATGTCACGCCTTTGACAGGTTGTCACTTTAAAAGACACAGAAAAACAGCCCTACGATTCCTTTATGCATATCTAGTTTATCAAATTTGACGGAACATGATTTTTGCATCTGTTCGCTCTGTAGGCTTGTATCGCTCTAGTATTTGGAGTTATCAGGTATATGTAAAGGTTTTACATAGGGGTTTAGTGTTTATGAAGTGGTCCACGGTCCGGTCCAGAGCATTTCAATTACACGGTGTCCGTTTTAGGGGTTTATCCGTCAAACTTGGATTGGGATCATCAATACATGTACTAGGGAGGATGCAGCAATTATCAATCGTATAGACGCAACTCAAACAATTTCACATGCGACTATTCTGCCTAGTTTAAAGCACAGGGATAAAACACATATACTCTCCGACACGACGATGCAAAATTTTTAAAAACTCTTCTCCGGCAATCAACTGCTGGTTGACTAATTCTATCTTGCGCACGTCACTTCCGTTCGATAAGAATAACATTCGTACAGTGATCACAACGCACGTACACATATACACCCCCATGGCAGCAGATAATATAGTTTATTCGTATTGCGACTTTTTTTACACTACTAATTGACTGATTGCAATTCGTGTACGTCTCTTTCGCCTTCCTCGGTTTCCTCGTCCCAAATGCTCGTGTCATAGTCACCGCCCAATACAAAGTACGGGTTGGCCTCGCGCAGTCGGAAGATCCAGCTGAGAGTGATGAATGGGGTGCAATATATGAATACGTTTGATTTAAATATACATTGTGGCGGTATACGCAGATAAACTTAGAACAAACAAAACACTCAGGTCTGTAAATAGCACAATACTTAGAGTGCGGGTGTTTCGCGACTCCCTCGAGTAGACCGAAGATCCAACTCTAGATAATAAAATGTACAACTATATACTGACAACACAATTTTTATATACATAAACATATACACATACACACACACACACACATACACACACACACACACATATATATACATATACATACACCTACATATACATATGTATATGTACATATATATACATACACATACATATATATACATATACATACATACATACACATATATATATACGTATATATATATATATAAAATAATAGTTCCACGCTAAAGGGGCGGCCTCTCACAATCGCTACCAAATGCGATTGGTGAATAGCAGCCATATGAGAAGGAGACAAACTTATATATATATCGATACACATGTACATACACACACACATACAAATATATATATATATACACATACACACACACATATATATATATATATACATACATACACATATATACATACATACATACATACTTACATACATATTCATATACATGTACATATATATATAAATATTAAAATATATATATACATACACATACACATACATACATACGTACATATATATATATATACATATACATACATACATACACATACTTACATACATACATACGTACATATATATATATCTTGCTTTTGGGTGCACCTTCTGCTTAAAATAATGATATCCTAAAACACGATTGAACTAGATAGAACACAACTCTATGCATGGGGCCATCGGCAAGGCCAGTAGTCTTGTGTTTGTAGATACGTTATCAAAACCCTACGGTAGTGTGTAACTGGCAGTACTACAAACCGGTATAGTCCGGAGATTTTATAAGGTAAAGTATACACAAATGTATAATAACATTAAGTAGAATAAGTTTATTCTATTTTATATTGAATGCGCTCAAAACAATATCGCTCCAGAATCACACATTATCGTCTGTACACTAGCTTTGTACTGTAAGTAGAAGGCCAATACACAGCTCAGTCCCAGAGGTAGGTATCATCATACCGTTTACCAAGCGCACATCAGTGCAGGAAATACGCACACACATCACACAACTGCAATACCACCGATCACGAGTAAGATAGAAAACACACATATTACCCACACATCAGGTATACACAACAACTATGCATAGCCTCGTGCGAGCATTGCCATATATAAATATATAAATAAGTATATATAGATATAGATATATATCCAACGACATACCACAGCCCTGCCATGAATGTCCAATAGAGTAAATTGTGTACTACTAGAATGGCAGCCCGAGCTTCGGCCAAATTGTCCCAGTCCCACGTGGAAACGACAATTGTCATCATGGAGGCGAAGAAGTAGATAGTCACACACCTGCACAGATGTATCGGCGTGTAAAGCACGAACAAATTAGTGTATATATAGGATGATTGTGGTACAGGCATGAATAGGTAGGATAAGGATATCAAGCACTGGTAAATACGACAGTAGATAGTGTCGCAAAGGTAAGACTAAGCTGTGCTAGGCATGACGCAGTTTGTTGTCGTGATGTGAATCCACATCATTAAAACCGCAGGCAAACAGCCAGATCTTTATTAAAACACTGTCAAATCACAACAATTCATACATACAAAGATACATACATTATATATATATATATACATACACATACACATACACATACACATACACATACACATATATATCGCGAGTCTCTGCACCAAAACATCTCAACAACAACAACACACACACACACTGACCAGAAAAAGCGAGAGATGAGCCTGAGCTTCGCAGCTACGGGCATTGTAACGTTATCTGGTTCATCCGCGGTAGTCCCCTCAAACTCACTCTCAGGCTCTGCATCCTGCATATCGAGTCTACCCTTCGGGCCAGCGTTGTAGGGTTCACTAACTATCTCCTCTTCGCCTTCCATGGTAGCCTGGTCATTCGCACCTACGATGACATCTGCGTGCGGCCGGCAGTGGGGATGATGACGGATAGGGTTTTCGGGGTTCAAGGTTTTATGCATGGTTGGCATACCAACGCGGGTGTGTAGAAACATGGAGATATTTTCACAGCATTGACAAGGACACAAATTAATGGATTTATCGTTCCCACCACACGTAGGCGTCTGCGGATGTACCGAACTGGTGGCAGCCATCAGGCAGTGACAGGCACACAGAACGCCTCGCACCCGGCACATACATGTCAGTTAGGCATATGCACGCATAAGGGTACAACTATACATAGCTGACAGTACACACAACAGCGAAGCTCAATCTCTGCATAACATGCATACTCTGCTATATCACTACCAATCAATAACTAATGAATCACATACAGCTATACTACTAATCAATAAATAAAATAACACATACTTATAACACACACAGCTATGTCTACTATGTAGTCAAAAAATAACACATCACATACTTATAACACACACAGCTATATGTCTACTATGTAGTCAGCTATACGTCTACTATGTTGTCAACAAATAACACATCACATACTTATAACACACACAGCTATATGTCTACTATGTAGTCAAAAAATAACACATCACATACTTATAACACACACAGCTGTATCTCTACGATGTAATCAATAAATAACACATGTACTTATAAATAACACACACAGCTATATCACTGCTAAACAAAAAAATGCATATCACACACTTCTTAAAACAACGCACACCATGTTGTAACGCACCGCTACTCATAACACACATATCACCCAATCGTAGTGATGCTATTTCGAGCATATCTCCTAACTAATAGTCGTATGTGTCTCGTGCGCATGTGGCTTACCGCTATTGTTGTTTTCTGATGAGGCCGCACGACCACTGCTCAGGTCATCGAGTTCAGGCTACACATTACAGAAGAGGGATTTAGGGATATATGGGTTTGAATTGGATTGGATTACAGATGAGGAAAACAGCAGTAGAAAGATAGTATTGGGACGCAATTTTGATTTAAGGTTTAGGGGTTTCACAATGAGGAATTGTAGGTATACCTGTGATATATGTGGGAAACCATCATAAGTGCACAAGCGCTTCCGCAGCCACACACCATTCAAGATAGAACGAAAGCGTTCAAAAGAAAAGCAATACGCCAGCCCACGAGACTGTACAGGACAAACGAATTGGCTTATGCGATGTAACGGGTGCTAATGAGCGCAGCGAACCCACTTGACGCGACTATACTTTTATGGTTTAAGGTTTAGGGATAAACAACTCAATTGGCTTTTGAGACGTGATTTGATAAATAGAATTTCATATCTAATTCAGAAGGTTACAGACAAAAGCAAAAAGGACAGTAATGTGCAGTGTCTGAGGGAATGGTTGAATTTGTCTCCCGCCAATCCTGATAGTCAGCCTACTATCACACACACACCAACCGTAACACTGTTATAAAACATATCAGATATACATGCAATGAGCAGTATACATAAACCGTTATACTGCTATGAAATATACCAGATATACATGCACTAACCAGTTTACACCAACAGCCTAAAAACAGCACCAACGCCAACTTCAAGCCAATCGTACGCCTATACCAAACACATATACAAACCAGTATGACAAGTGTTGTGCACTGAGGTCTCGAGGGTATCCTTACCGTATTCTCCTTCTTGTGAGCCTCCAACTGAGCCTCCAATTTGACCACTTCAATTTGGGTGGTTTGGAATATCCAGGTCCACATGTAGATTAGCGTGAACAGGTATATGAGCGTGGCCTGCAAATGCGAATGCAAATGCGGTGAGTACCGGACAAGGACACAACAAGCGTAAGGGTGAGGGCGAGGAAACACACACAGGATTGGTTCAATCGACGCTTCTGCTTTGAGGCTCGTGATACCAATACCATTAGTTTGATCGGCGTAGTCTCGAAGGCAAATAGGGGTTAGGGTTTTAGGGGTTTAGGGTTCATGGTTTGACCTAGAGATGGAGGCTGGAGACTAGCAAGACACAAAGGGGTTGCCGAAGGTGTATGCACACGGCAGGTAATGTAAGCAGGGGAAGAGGAGGATATTAATAAGAGTATATGCAGTGAAGTCTGGTAAAAGGGAGTGTACATACACACCCCCCCCCCTCCCCACACACACATATATATATAACATATAGTTCATCTATACACACACACGCTGCATGTACACACATACAGCAATTAAGCATGACCACGCCGGTAAGCAAGCAGAATGACATGCTTTATATGTACAAGATACGATAGCCTATAGAACTCATGTCTGCAGCATTGAGTTACACTGTATTCTGTTGGAGGGCCGGGGAATCCTAGTTGTATCACAACGGGTATATTACTCTTAATCCCTTAATGCTTAGATTTAATACTTAATATTTGTTATTTGGTACTTTGGTGTAAATATGACTTAAGACACAGCAATAGGTACACTGATACTCTCATGCATTCAAGTTAAAGCCAAAATTCTGACCGCTATGTGGCGTGCAGCAGAACCTGGCCTGGTCTGTCACTCTATACGACACTTCAGTATACATACTTCACACCTTCCATACCTTTACTACCTATACCCAATGTACCTATAAAAAAACACCAAATACATCCACCAACCGACTTACAACGACCAGGATGTTCTCCTCCGTGTCCGAGATGTCTCTGAATGGCGTGCCTTCAAGACCACCATGGCTGGCCCAGATAATGTTATGTGCTGTGATAGATGCGAAGTAGAAGACGGGGGCGATAAACACAGCCTTAGCCCCATCGGAGCTGAACTTGTCTTTAGTTATTTGGTATCCGTAGGCAATGGACATCAGCAATCTGTGGACAAAAGTACAAAAACAAGTAGATGGGGTTAGTCTTTGTAGAATCCGAATGGATGGGCCCACGATTGCGTCGGTTGTCTCAAGCTATAAAGATCGCCAAGGAAGGGCAAATAGATCCCGGTATAAATAAATAAATAAATATGTATGTATGCATGCATGCGTATATATATATATATATATATATATATATATATA